GGCTTCGCGCAGCCGGTCGGCACCTTCTTGGTGCGTGACAGTCGCCAGCGGAACTGCTTCTTCGCCCTCAGCGTGAAGATGTCCTCGGGCCCCACGAGCATACGCGTGCACTTTCAGGCTGGCCGCTTCCACCTGGACGGAAGCCGCGAAAGCTTCGACTGCCTCTTCGAGCTGCTCGAGCACTACGTGGCGGCGCCGCGCCGCATGCTGGGGGCCCCGCTGCGCCAGCGCCGTGTACGGCCGCTGCAGGAGCTGTGTCGCCAGCGCATCGTGGCCACCGTGGGCCGCGAGAACCTGGGGCGCATCCCCCTCAACCCTGTTCTCCGAGACTACCTGAGCTCTTTCCCCTTCCAGATCTGACCGGCTGCGCAGGAAGCATTAACTCGGACGCCTTATTATTTTTTATTATTAATTATTATTTCCCTGGAACTATGTGGGTTCCCTTCCCCGCCTGGGTTGGAGGGAGCCAGTGTGGGGGGCGAGGTCCCTCCCCCTCTTGGCTGGAGATGAGGCCACAGACCCCTCCCCAACTCTTGGGGGTGTGCCCCCCTCCTGGTGCTCCCTCTGGGTCCCCCTGGTTGTAATAGCAGCTTAATTTAACTATCTGGGGCCAGGACCTCAACTTTATCTCCTACCTCTTCATGTTTACATATACCCAGTATCTTTGCACAAACCAGGGGTTGGGGGAGGGTCTCTGGCTTTATTTTTCTGCTATGCAGAATCCTATTTTATATTTTTTACAACCAGTTTAGGTAATAAACTTTATTATGAAAGTTTTTTTTTTAAAGAAAAATGGTTTCTAGAGCGTTTGCTTTGGTCAAAGGTTTTCCTTGGTTCCGAATAGGTCCAGGGGAAAGGGATCCTAAGACTGACCTGTTTGGCTGGAGGTGGTGTGTGGTCCATATTCTGTGGCTATGCACTCTGCTCAGTTCCCCCCACAGCTCTTGGGGGTAGAGGAACCGCTGGTCCAGTTTTGGTATTGTATGTCTGGTTAAAATGGCAGCTCATGTTTGAGCACTTAATGTGTACCAGGTCCTATGCGGAGCTCTACCTGCTTCCATTTACTTAATCCTATTGAGACAATCCTATGAAGCAGGGCTCTTGGCCCACTTTACAGAAGAGAAAAGCAGTGCAGGGGGTCAATTTGCCTTTGGTCATTCCTGTGTCAAAGAAGACACTTGGGTTTTTATTGGCTGTCCACAGAGACTCTGGTTGAAATGGATGACACAGAGAAAATTTCACTGTGACCACAATAACTTCTAGGAAGGGATGGGGGAGTGGGGGCTTGATGATTTTTGGAAGGAGGATTGGTACATTCTGAAATTCGGCATCAAGGGAAACATTTTAGATGGGATAGAGGATACAGGGTTGGGCCCGACTTCCTTCTTCCCGCCCTGTTTTGTCTGGTGTACTTTTTGGTGAACGCATAACTTGGAGTCAGACGAGGCTTTGTGGTCTGTGGTGGCTGGAGGGCCCTGCTAGCGGCAATTCCCTTGGCCTCTTGGGGCCTCAGCATGGGCCTCAAACATGGGCTTGTTGGAGGAGGTGGAACCCTCAGCAGCAGGTGTCTAGGCATCGCAGAGAAAGTGATGTTCTCAGGAGCCAGGGGAGGGAAGAGCTGCTCCAGGATGTTTGAAAGTCCCCATGATACGGGCTTTATGTCTCTGACCGGCCTGACAGATAAGCCATGCTGGCAACTCAGGGCTGTGCTGCTGCACCCAGTGAATTGAATCATGTTCAGTTAGAGGGGTAAGCAGACATCGCACTTCATTTTTAGAAGTTAGAATGGGCGTCTGCAGCCTTGGACATGCTTATGATGGCATGTCCTAGTATTTAATAATACCTTTCAGGCTCGAAAGTGCAGCATAAAATTAACTTGAAATTTGGAGCTGCCCAGGCTTGTCTTGGGATTAAATAGGCTCCAGATCTCAAGGTTAAGGATGGCCCGGAGAGATTTAGGATCTCAGAGAGCTTTGGCAATTTCATCCTTTAATAAGGTGGGATGGGAGGGAAAGGGGGTGCTGTGAGGTCACTGGCTCCAAGGAAGTGCTGCTTTTTCTTCTTTTATCTACCTCCTTGCCCTTTGTTCTCTACTGTGTGGATCAAGTTCTGTCTTTGTTCTGACTTTCCCTGTCTCATACCCAGTTTGGGCAGGGCCTGAAAAAAACACAAATCCAAGAAGGCAGTGCTTGGGCACACCGCAGACACTTTAGTGAGTACTTAGTGTGTGTAGGGCCCTGTGCTATCTTGTCTCATCCTCACAACTGGCCTGCGAGTTAGAAATCTCTCCCCCCTTTTTATAGGCTCAGAGAGGCACCGGACACACAGCAAGTGATGGAGCCAGATGTTCAAACTTAGATTGTATTGCCTCGGCAGCTGGGTACCACTAGGTAACACAGCCTCCCCCGAGGGCCTAACGGTCGCAATAATAATAACAGCAGCAGCTGCTAACATTTACATATGGCGTTACTGTGCAGTCACCATTCCAACCCCCTAGTTACCTATATTAAGACATTCAACCTTCACCCTAGCCTTACGATTTACTATTAACCTCTCCATTTTACAGATGAGGAAACAGATACTCATCTAAAGAGGGATGAATCCGAAGGTAGTTGACTATTTCCAGGGTTTTTTCCTACTTTAAAAAAAGTTTAAAAGCCACGTCTTCATCACACAAACCCACTCTCCCTATAAAGCCTGGAGCAAAACAGCTAAGAAAAAAACCCCCTCTGACCACACTCCCCGGAGCCGGCCCCTTCTCTTTGTAAGTCATTAAAAAAAAAAACTATTCCAACATAAGTACAGTGGCATAAAATGACCTAAAAGTCCCCAGGGGCTGTACTCCAGGCCCCGTGTGCCTGAGATCCTGTGTAGACACTGGTGCAGAGGAAAAGGGCTGGGGGGTGGCACAGTGTGTGCCATGTGGCTTCCCCTTCAGTGTAGATTCTCTCAAACCTCAGCTTTATGATTCAGCAATGCTGATGTCAATTTACAAGAATGAAAAGTGAGAGGAGGGTTTGTGTGTGTGTGTGTGTGTGTGCATGGGCGGGGGGGGGGGGTTGCATTGGGGGCTCAGGTGCTGCTGAGGTACCCTCCCCAATGAGAGTGGGTGAGCTGGGCAGCACAAGGCATACAGAATGGGAAAGGGGCAGCTCTTTACCATAATGGGGACTGCACGCAGGTACAGGAACAGGCTTCAAGCCACATCAAAGCCACCCTGAGCCAGGGACTCTGATCCCCATTTCAGAGATGAGAAAATGGAGGTACAGAGAAGTACAGTCACTTTGCTCAAGGTCACACAACTCAAACCTGATAGCCAAGACCTGCACCAGGGCCATCCCTCTCTATAGACCACTGGTTTCTTAAAGAGTGGGGGGGAGGGGGGGGGAGAGGAGTGCTGGGGAAATGCATGTTCCTCAGCCTCACCTCAGCCTGCTTGATCCTCCTAAGCTTGTGAGTCGATCTGTTGTTGTCCCAGAGCCAGGAAGTGGAGCACTGAGCCTCTTCCTGAGGTGATGCACATAAAGCACTTAGCACGCAACCTGGCAATAGATCTCCAAACGATACGGTGCTCAATAAATGATCGCTGGGTCCCTACAGCCCCCGTCCACTAGGCACCTGCTGTGTTCCAGGCATTAGGTCCCAAGGACACTTGAAGGGACAAAGTCGAGGGAGTCCTGTCCCTGTTACGGAGTTCACATTCACGGCCCCACACAGTAAATACCGCAACTGAACATGAAACTAAAGAAGCAGGAACATTCCAAGCAGGGATACTGCTCCAGTGAAGACTCAACAAGGTGGCTGGATGAGGGGGTTGTGCTGGGGGGTGGCATATTTTAGAAAGAAAGGTCAGGAAGGTTCCTAAGGGGACACTGACATTGTACATGGGATGACAGGGCGGAGCCAGCCTGGGAGACGGGCATTCCAGGCAGAAAAACAGCAAGTGCAAAGGCCATCAGTTGGGATGAGTTCAGTGCATTCCAGAAGGCTGGCCAAGCTGGAGGGGACTGAATGAAGGTGAGTGGCAGGCGGCGAGTTGGACTGGGTGGGTGGTGGGCAATGGGCAGGGCCAGGGTCCTGTAGACCAAGGTAAAATGTATGGATGTGAGGTGTGGTAAGGAGCCTGGGGGTGGCCTGATGGGATCTGTGTTGTGACTACACCCTGACTTCTAGCTAGAGATGGACTAAAGCAGGGAGGACTGGTGAGAGGGCGTTAGGCTTCTTGCCTTATGTGTGTACTGGTGGGGGTGGGGGGTGTTCATTCTTGGCCAGACCCTCAGCTCCAGCCAATCAGGCCAACAGCAAGGAAGGGCCAGCCACAGGAATGCTGAGACCTGTCTGAACGTTGGGCCTGAGCGTGGGCTAGGGCTGGAGTGGCCAGCCCTGGGGCAGGCAGCCATCAGAAACCACAAGCACGACCAGACCCCAAGCCGGGGTCTGAACAGAGCCCCAGGCATGGCCCGCGGGCTCCAGTGAGGGGCAGAGCTGGCCTCCACTTTGGGGGAGGAAGCAAAAGGCCTGCGAGGAGGCGGACGGGCTGGCTGGCACAGGGTGGGTGTGGCCGGTGCTCCCTGGAGGCTTGTTTTGCATCCCCTTCCCTGGCCTCCACCATCACCATCCGGACTCTCTAGGGCTCGAGCTTCAGATAATAACCGGCTTGGCCTCTTTCGGGGGTATGGGGGTGTCTGAAGACCGCTCAGAGCAGGGATGGAGTTTTCAGCGGGACAAATTCACACGGGACAACGGTGCTCGAGGAGTGCGCTCCAACTCTACCACCGACCCTGGTCCTGGCACCTGCCAGACACCCCCGAGGGACACCTGGGTTCCCCTCCACAAGGACTGGCCCCAAGATGAACCTACCACCCTGTACACACACACGCGGGGCGGGGTCAGGCATCGCCAACCCAGTCCCCCAAGGACTCCCAGCCACGCTCAGGAGAAGGCCCGCCTCCCACGAGGACCCAGAGGCCTGCAGGCGGCCCTTCCCGACGCTCCCTCCTGCTCCTGGGCCTTCGCACATGCTGTTCCCTCACCTTGTGCGTCAAGCGTCTTGGTGTTTCCCAGCCGGTTTCGAGGTAAAGCGCTCATACAAATAAAAGGCGCCTTCACCGAAGTCCGAGGCCCCGCACGACGCCGCGCCCCTGCTCCCGGGCACCACGTGCCACGTGCTGATGACGTCACCACGCCACTCCGCACGCAGCGCCCCCCGCCCCCCAGCCCACCCTACCTCGGCCTCTGAGCCTCTGTGGGCTTCTGGCCCCTTTCGCCTCCGCATGGTCTTAACGCCGACCGCTGCATTCTGCCCACTGGACACTGTGAGCTTCCTGGACTCTGAGAGCGCATATCCTAAGGACATGCCAGGTCAAGGCCATATATCGGGCCCTCCTCCATCCCCTCGAGTCTACAGAGACCAAAAAACGCTTCCACTTCATCCCAGTCCACAACCTCAGGTCTCAAATCCTTTTTTCTTTTTCTTTTTCTTTTTTTTTTTGTATTTTTTTTCCCAAACCCTCTTTTTCTCACTTGGACATGGGGTTAGTAATTGTACCCACCCCATGGGTAAAATTAAATAACAGGGTGCCTGGAAAGTGCTTAACATATGATAGGCAAACCATCACTGGGACTGGCCCTCTGTTTCTTGACTATGGCATTGCTGCTGTTTTAAAACAATGCCATTTATGGAGCACCTAATGGGTGCTAATACTTCATCCCGGCTGCATCGTGAGGAGACAGGCTCAGAAAGGTGAAGGAGTTGCCCCCATGCATGTGTAAACGGCAGGGCCAGTG